CAGTATAGACCCCAATATACTATAGTCCTTATCATAGGGACCCCCAAAAGGTACCCCTCGTTTTGGGAAACCCCCATTTCAAAGGTTTTTTCTGGGCTGGGAAGTGACCGAACAGGGTGATTGGCAGCTGAAGGATGCTTGAGGAGTTTGAGATATTTGTGGTTTCGAAAAATCGCGGGTCTCTTGCTGGGAGGCCCTGTAAACGCTCAAAATGGTTACAGTAGATTGGGGTCCATAAGTTAGGATACCATTTAAAGGTTAGAGATGATTAAGCTGGGTTGGGTATTGGGCCCCCCTGATTGCTAGAAACCCCCATACCTCTTTTGCTTCGTCGCATCAGGCTGCACACCAAGTTGTTCGATAACAACGGGCGTCGAGCAGAAGCTGCCGTTTGCATTTTCAGAGGCCGAGCCACTCCCCTTGGTTGACGATGGGGCGCCGCCATGCAGCAATTTGCTGTGTGCTGAAGTCGAAGTGAGTGAAGAAAAGATCCGAGAAGACGAAAGCTCCGACGTGGCCACCCACAGGGAAGGTGCAGAAGTGACTGAACCAGAGCCACTGGAGCCGTGCGCAGAGGCTGAGGAGGAAGCGTGTGATGCCAGGCAAGCGATCATGCACGAGCACCAGACCAGCGTGGCGTCAACATGCAGCTTTGAGCCTGATCAGCTTCAGCCTTCAGAGCCTACTGATGTGACAGAGACGTCAGCGCAACCAGAACCCGATGACAGCAACCGCAACCTAATGCCATCGGCCGCTATCCAAAAGCTACCTTCGCCTCTCCAAAGCACGGACCATCAGCCGACGGCAGACAATGCTGAAGAGCCCTCGAAAGGCAAGTCTGCAGAGGCCATTCGCAGGTGGGGTCTGCGCAAGCCTCCGTAAAAGTCACCTTCCCCCGAGGCCTCTTGGCGGCCAAGCTTGCGGCCAGCTGCGGAGGTCTGGGGAGAAGCTGGTGGTGCACAGCCTTTAAATATCACACGTTTTCATGTGCATTCCGTGGTAGCTGCCTCAGGTCTGTCGAAAGCCAGGACTTGCGGGAGCAGACCGGGACCACACCACTGAAGATGAAGTAGAAGAAGATGGCCTCATCGTCTCGGAGAGCACGCAGGCAAGGCAAACATGGGCAGGGCCATGTGGGCAGGTTGTTGCCGATGGGTATGTCTCAAAACAGTACCTACTGAATCCACAATAAAGGCCTGCAGAAATGTTCGCAATCCCCAGATGCCGCGCATATAGAAGCCTCCTATATAACCCAAGTTTCCATTTCATCTTCCATTTTCTGTATACCCGTAAACAGTCCTTTGCAACCCAGCTTAAAGCTTTGAGCGTTCTTTAGACTGGCAGGCACGGGTCTGGTCCAGGCGCGATCGCTCAGATGGAAGCAATTCTGATTCCATCCACAGCAGTGCCGGCGCTGGCCGTGGGAAGCCGCATGAAGGCATTCAATTGGATATAGGAAGGCTTTCATGCTCAAGTAGTTCATGACAATCATTTGCCGGACAACGTGGGATGACAGCTGAGGGCAAGACGAGCTTTCTACAAAGTCAGGCAGCTTGCGGAAGCCTGACAGCAGCTTACTTTACGAGGGGTGTTGGCCGATGACCTCCTGGAGGCCTGGGTGCAGCGCGGTACACGGGGTTGCGTAAGTGTTTACTGACAGGTTCACTCAGGTTTGATCAGGTTGCTTAAGAAAATCAGTGAGTGTATGTGCCAGGTGCTGTCCAAAGGACCCCAAAACAGAAGAATTGCATTGAATCTACATTATATCCAACGCTGAGGTTATGTACTAACTCAAAGTGCAGGTATTGGTTGTTTTTGACCATGTGAGGCGAGCCTCTCTGTACTGAGATTGTACATACCATTGAGTTTCTGAAGACGAGGGCTCCAAGATTGCCGCATGCAGGGAAAGTTGTTTCAAAAGAGCTTCAAGACAGATTCCCAATCTTCGGAAACTCCAGACATCCAGCTGCGCACTGGCCAAAACGACGCGAGACGGTCATATTAACGTGAAAGGTTATGAAACGGCACAAAATCAATCCTGAATGCATGTCATGATTCCAGAGCACCACGGAGGATTTTATCCCCGGTGAGGGTGTGCACCTTGTCTGTCACCCGTTAGTGCTGGCTCAACGGCCGTGCAGCCAGGGAGCCACGTACAGATGCTTCACAATGTTTGTGACATATTTGTTCACGTCTATGCTTTCCTTCTCATGTCGACCTCCGCGGTGCGACCAGGTCTCGAGCCTACAATTCCAGTGGTGCTGTCGGAATGTACCAGCAATGATCCAGCATGCAGAAAGTTGGAGGCAGAAGCCGCGCAAAAACAGAAGCTCGCAGCAAAGAATGCCAGCAAGAAATTCCCTGTTACTGCTTCTGCCCTCGCTTTTGTTCAGCCTTGGTACGCCTTTGTACGCCATGTCTGGAAAGATGCAAGAGCAGCAAGCAGAGTTTTGGACCTTGAAACAGTTCATCGCTTTGGTGGCCAGCTGCACAAGGAGCTTCACGATACTCAGCAGATGTGCCAGGAAGCACTCACAGGTTCGCTGATGTTCGCTGAAGGGTGGGAAGCGCTGGGCCAAGGAGGCTGCTGATCCCTTTTTCTTCCGCATGGGTAGTTTCCAAAATTAGGGTCCCGTTTTGGGTACCCCTAAGTATTAGGTGCCGTAGTATAATCTGCAACCAAAGAGGGTCCATGATTTTGAGAACAAACCATATGTGAGCTTGCTAGCATGGGTAGGCAGCACGTTTTGCTTGAGCTTGACTCGGAAACATGGAGCTTGGTCTCCACACGCCTGTCCATCCGTCATTCAATAGAGCATCCACTGGGTCTGAAAGCAGAGAAGCTGCATGTAAGGGAAGCCTAGCACGATGTGTTAGCGCACCAAGACTTCCTCTGCTTGGCATTTGACGAGTTGCAGATCAAGAGAGCCTAGCTTTGCCATACGCTATGGCGCATCAGCCAGCGTTCGCAGCTATGGCCACTCCGGTCACTCCCAGAGGGGCTACTTGGCGGAGTCCAGTCATGCCGTGTCGAGCATTGGCGGCGTTTGGGTGCCGAAATGCGCAACACGTGCCTGCAGGCCGGAGCCGTTTCAATTACGCGTACTACCCGCTGTGGGCCCAGATATCATCAATGACCTTTCATATGACTGGAGCGGGTAGTGAAAAGCATCAGGTCCGGCGCGCAGCCTGCCTGGGCCTCAGAGTCAACGTCATCCCAATCTTCAGCTCCGCCTCCCTCAGCCTTCAGCCCGGTTCAGCCCTCCTGAGGAGTCCCATCTTCTTGAAGACCACGTGCCCGGCCGTTTTGCGCGGCGTCGGGCTCCTAGCAGGGCACTTCAGCAACCTGCACCGGGTCTGAGTGGCAAAATGGTCCGAGGTCAGCAGGCTTCCACCTGAGACGCGCACCGGCGGAGCTCTCAAAGTGTATGCACGTGCACAAGCATCGCTACGTGCATCATTGCTGTTGCAGCTATGGCTGCTGTTCCGTGAAGATCCCGTATGAGCATCGAAACTGCTTTCCCCCAAAGGCCTCGCACAGCTTGGAAAAGGTGCGACAGAGCTTCCGAGTCTTGAAAAGCCTGACCCCCAGGCCGACTAGAATCCTGGCCACCTCTTCCGCGCGTGCAGTCTCAGGCCGGTTTTGTGCCGGGCCATGCTGGGATCGTTGGGATTTGGACTCTCACATTCTTAGCTCCACTTTGGAACACATGTTTCTGCAAATGATGCTATGAGCTCAGCTGCGGATCAGAGGGTAGTGCTGAAGTCCGTGAGTAATGCCGAGTTACAATGGCAACCACAAATTTGCTGGTTAGATTTACAGGTGCCCTTCGGCCTCGACAAGTTGTAATGAGGATTGTGGCTTCGTGTGCGAAGGGTGGGTTTGCTTCACCATCTTCATCTGCCTCCTCAGTTCATGACGCCTCGGAGCGTCCGTGTCGAGAATGGCCGCAGCTGCGCCGGAGCCTGTGTTGTCCCATGCTGCCTTTGTGAGGATGAAGCATGCCCCGCCCTGAGGCAGACTTCAGCCCGCCAAAGCAGGTACGGAACTCTGATTGCAGGATGCATTGGCTTGGTGCCAGCAACAGTGACCAGGCAAGGATGTGCCAACCTACACCGCCATGACCCTGGAGGGGGCCAAGTCGCGATTTTCTAGCTGGGTCCGCAGGGTAGACATTCGTCTCGTTATGCACAAACGGCTGGGGTTGAACATGCTCCATGGGAGGTTGCGTGGTTGGGGAGCTGTGAACACGAGTAGCACGATCTTTCACGGTAAGCGAGATCCGGCTTGATATCTCAAAGGGAGACGTAGGGCTTGCCAGGGTTGGATTCTGGAGGCCATGGTGAGGGTTTCGAGAGTAACAAGATTTCTGACAGTGAGCAAGACCCGGCTAGCTTGACATCTTCAAGCAAGTCGCAGTGCATTGCATGAGAACGCTACAAATGGATTTTGGAGGACATCATGAGATCTCTGTGGTGCATGCAGCTCTTCCCCAAAGGATGTCGGGGTGTTGTGATAGCAAATTTCAGAAAAGCGGCATGGAAGCGGAGAGTGAGTTCATACACGGTGAGGAATGACTAAATCTGCCTGGTGGTCCCAAGAACCTATTCTCAACGAAGCATGAAATAGATTAGGGTCACAAAAGCACAGAACTCGGGAGTCTGAGGCCTTTGTCGTCAGCGGCGCCTTGTGCAGGAGTTCCCTCCAAGGCTCGAAGAAAGACTGCATATTTGAAGTTTGAAGTCCCTCCTTTGATTGACTCTGCCAGACACAGCTGGGGGCTCGCATTTCTTTGCTTACCACATATGCTGCGCACAGAAGGCCGATGTGCCATCCGAAGACTCCTGGACTGAAGTGGCGCAGGAGGAGCGGGAGAAGGGAGAGGGGGGTGAAGGTTGGCTGTGGTGTAGTGTCTGAAGCCGCGGCGTCAGCAGAGCTCAGGCCGTGAAGCAGATGGCGGAGGCCAAGTTTCAGAGGGAGCAAGATCTGGACCGCCTCAAAGAGGAGAGTGGTTGGGTCAGACGGTGTGAGAAGGGGCCATTCTTTCCCTCGACGGACCTGGCTGCAGGATCACGCAAAACAATGCTCGGATCTGGCCAGCGAGCCTGGACTGCAAGTGCAAAGACAGCAGGGAGTTTTGATATGGGTGTCAAAGGAGTCGTGTGCGTAGTTGACTGT